ACACACACACATACACACACGCACACTCATATAATGTACAAATATATGATATTGATGACAAATAAATCCAAGCAACAAAACTGACAACGAAGATACAGGATGTAACAACAGTAACGCCCACGACCAACAACAGTCACAGCACCTACACACAGCGACTCAACCACTCTGGGCCAAAGTTTATCGAGATAAGAAACAAAGATAACAATTAACACTAAAAATAAGAGCAACTATATTACAACGTAACTGTGACAGTACAATATAATCTACTTCTGCCAGTATAAAAAAATACCACCATACTGACGGCAACAATAGCTGCTTCACCGCCACTGCCACCACAACTAGATAGATAGCAAAGACACAATTTTATTACTTGAGAGAATGTGAATAGGAAAAAGAACGAAAGAAGAAGGACAATGATGTGGAGAAGAGAAACAATAACAACGACACAAAACAGCAAGAGTAACAGCAACAATAATGACAAAAGGGACAGACAAAAAAGAAAGAGAAAAAATGTTGTTGTTTTTTTTAAACAACAAAAGATGATGGGGGTGGATATTACGATAAAGACAATAATTTCTCTCTTACTATTGCAAACAAATGGCACTCTCCAGAGCCTGAGAAGGACAACGTAGGAGACTGCGTACAGGGAGTCGTAGGGAAGATCTAGGAAGTGAAAGGCTATCTCCACACCAAGTGTGCCGGACACCACGAAAATGTCGAAAATCTGAAATAAGTAGACGACCAAAAAAAGTTATACGGCACTAATTATGTTTTTTACATGTTTCTTTTTTATTTATTTTTTGATTTATATACATATTGATTTATTTTTTACGTTGGTTTTTTTTTTTTTTTGCTTTTCAATTAAATTAATAATGTATCATGTGCATGGGAAAATGGAAAAAAGGAGAAGGACAAGGTCTCATGTAACAGACAGACAGACAGACAGACAGACAGACAGACAGACAGACAGACAGACAGACAGACTGACAGACTGTCAGACAGACAGACAGACAAACGGGGGTGGAGTGTTTGAAGGCACAGCAGTACACTAGGCAACTGTTGCTACTGTGTGGGGAGGGGGGGAGGAGGGGGCACAATTATAGGGGTCTCTCGCCAGAAAGTTTGGGACAAGTTGGTTGCACTTCACCTGTACGGAAGTTGCGGATACTGTGGATGGGAAAGTGAACTATTTAAAGTATACTGTGCAGTAAATTCGAGATAAGAGAGAGAGAGAGAGAGAGAGAGAGAGAGAGAGAGAGAGAGAGAGAGACAGACAGAC